CATATGCCGTATCGGAAGCGACCCTCTTTTGGGAAAAGAGGGCGCAGGCGGCTACAAGCCGCTGAGGGAGTGCCTACGAAGGCAATTTAATGGTGAAGAAATTAATTATGAAAAATTAATTATGAATTTGACTGAGCCACCAGGAGGCAGTTCAAGTCGTTTGACAGTTTATTAGGCGGTCCGAGTGGGAGTTCCTCGGCCTGCGGACGCGATAGCGGGAGGGGAGTGGGGTTGCACACTTAGCTACCTCACGAATAAGTATGTTTGAATGAGACTCTGAGACTTTGAAGAAGTTTTCAGGGAGTTTTTATTAGGGAGTGCCTACGAAGGCAAATTTAACCAGACGTATACTGATTACGGTGAAATGATTAAAATAAACTTATAACGTACTTAAAAGATTATGATGCTCTGTAAGAGCAAGGAGTCGGTCCTGAGGGGACTGGGCAGCGCGCAATTTGCGTGCTAAGACGGTGATCTCCCCAATATTGATGTTCTTAATAGCGGCGTACACCGTATTTAGATCATCAACCATTGAGGGTTGTGTTTGCTGAGCGGCGGAGGACGACCGCGGAGGGTCGGCCTTTTTGGGAAAGACTGGAGGCTACAAAGGTTGCGAGAAGCCCGGAGTAGGGCGAAGAAGAGGAGGAGGAACCCGGGAGGGCCTTGTTGGACCCTAAGATGGTCGAAAATAGCTCTTAGGTGGCAATCTTGACGTGAGGGCCGGGGACGACTTAGCATTAACCGGCGGTGGAGCGTGCCTACTGGGGCGGGGATGAGGTGCGCAAGGGCAGCCTCTGTAGTTAGCCGGGTGGCCTGAAATTTGGTATATATACTAACAACGAGTCACTCAACTAGCGCCTACCTGGATGAGTAAGCTCACCCTCGCCAACCTCACCATTCCGCGAACCTTTTGACCTCCCCTCGTATACTACTAATATGGCTGCAGCATGGCTCTATCACATAAAAAGGACAGTTAACAGAAGTCGAAGTTATAAATTATCGGCCAAGTCATAACATGGCTACGTATAAGATGACATAAAATGGCGGCGATAAATGCACAGGCAGATTATCATATGCCCGATTCTAACGTTCAGACTAAGTATTAAATTTAGTTTTATTAGATCGATGACCCGACATTCGGCCACCGACACCGTCATTACAATCATAATACTTTTAACCTGTAAGATTCTAAAAAAGTGAGAGAGCAAGTCAAGTCACGTTTACCCTTTTCTACAAGGATTTCAAAAAGGAGACGGTACTCAATTCGATTGTATTTTCTTTTTTTATGAGTGTTACCTCATAACTTTTCTCTGAGTGAACCGATTTCGATGATTCTTTTTTTGTTTGAAAGTTGGTTCTTCTCTTTTGGACCTATATAAATTAGATCAAGGTCTGACCAATAGTTTTTGAGTTATTCTTAATAACTTATATTGAAGTCGGTTGTACAAAATTTTAAATTATTATTCACCGTGTATACATTGACTACATTTCTTTAAGTCTGTATTTTATGGATACTACTTTTTAATTCTCTCTAAATTTAGTTTTTATGGCGGTTGAAATTTTAAGTACAAGTGGCCAAGTTAGTGTTGAAAGACAGCTAAAGTAGTGCTTCGCTTTATAGATTATAATATCTCATATCTTCAGAAATATAAATGTTGTAAGGTACGTGAGGGTAATATGGTCACCTTAAGCTTTGCCACCCTATAAAACCAAAACTAGAAGGAGGACAGAGACAAATACACAATGTCGTGTACTATAACTAATATATTAAGAAAAAAATAGCAAACAAGCCTTGGCAATAATTAGGAACACTTTGAAAAACCAACCTAAATAAGCTAACTACACTACCCAATACTAGAATCGACCAAAATATTTACTATAATGTCAACCGTTAAAATGGCGTCGATAAAGCCGTGTCACCCGTGAGGACTAAGATGGAATGCCTCTTTTCCAGTAAAAAGGGTGTCCGGTTCTCTACACTCACCATACGAAACACAGCAGCGTTATGCTGCTATTTGACACTGGTATTCTGTGAGAGCGTGGTCCTTCCCCGGTCGAGCGGACCCATTCGTGCTACAACTATACTACTAACTTAGCTGCAGCATGGCTCTACCACGCATTCTGATTCTTAATTGATGATAGATAGATTTATGTGGGCCACAGTATTCACTTGCCATCAGGTGAATCGTGGCTCATGTGTCGTCCTCATTCAAAGAACATGCGCGTGTGTTGTGGAACACTCGGGTGGAACGAAATTCCTTTCGCAGTATATTATTATTGTTATTATTGAGTAACAAATACAAATAAATGAATTACTAGCGTAGCGTCTATTAAACGTCATTTAAAATAATGTTTCTTTCATGGCAAGATAAGAAAAAGTGCGAGGGAGATGGATATTATTCCATCTCGCTCGCACTATAGATAGGGAGTTGAGACGGAAAATCTTACACTTTTTCTTGCCTTTTTTTTTTTTTTTTTTTTTTTGCGCCCGAAGCAATTGGAAAAGGGCTACCCCGAAGGGAGGCAGAAAATGCATTACGCATACCACGATGGCCGGTCCATCGTGGTTATGAGGGACTCACTACCTACAAGGGGGAACCTAAGTGATACCCTCTAAAAACTGCCTTTGGGGACTGGCAACCAGCTGTTGAAAGCTTCACATGCCGTATCGTAAAGCGACCCTCTTTTGGGAAAAGAGGGCGCAGGCGGCTATAAGCCGCTGAGGGAGTGCCTGGGAAGGCAAATTAATTATGAATAACTTAATTAGAGTTGGCCTGAGCCGCCAGGAGGCAGTTCAGGTCGTTTGAAAGTTTATTAGGCGGGTCCGAGAGGGAGTTCCTCGGCCTGCGGACGCTATAGCGGGAGGGGAGTGGGGCTGCATAATTAGCAGCCTCACGAATAAAATGATTGGAATGCGACTCTGAGGCTTTGAAGAAGTTCTCAGAGAGTTTTTTAAGGAATTGTTGAATTGTAGGGAGCTCTAGGTCCCGATGAAGGTCGGCATTGCGGACGTACCAAGGTGCGTTCGCAGCTCGACGACAGAAAAGGTTTTGAACTACTTGGAGTTCATTAATAATTTTAGGGTTAGAGTGGGCGAAAATGGGGCCCGCGTAGGACATGACTGGTCGTATACAGACCTTATAAAGGGTACGCTTGTTTCTGAGGGACATTTTACTGTGTCGGCCCAACATACTGTTGAGCCTATTCAGGTAAAAACGTGCGTGACGGGTTACTCTTTTGACGTGGGGCCTGAAAGTTAGCCCTGTGTCTAGAGTGACACCTAAATATTTGGCAGACGTATGCCAGGGGACAGGGGTCCCTAGCATACGTATTGGTGGAGTGTTTTTGAGACGGCGTCGTTTATAATCGAAGTGAACGGCGGAGCTCTTCTCCGGGTTCACATCGATGCGCCATTTTTTGAACCAAGCTCCTAGGTCATCAACTGACTTTTGGACCTTGTTCCGTATGAAAGGTAGCGAGATACCTTTGCAGTAGAGAGCAGTGTCGTCTGCGAAGAGGGAGAGCTGAACACCTTTCGGCGGAATGGGAATGTCGTTGGTGAACAGTATGTACAGCAGAGGAGCAAGAACTGAGCCCTGAGGGACACCAGCTTTGATGGGGCGCTGTGAAGATAGCGTGCCTTCGTGTCTAAAACGAAAGGTACGATGATTAAGATAAGAGGCCACGAGACGTACTAGACGATCGGGGAGACCTATTTTGTATAGTTTGTAGATAAGGCCTGTATGCCAGACTCTATCGAAGGCTTTGGCGATGTCGAAAAAGACCGCGATAGTCTTATGACGACGGGGATAAAAACCGCTGAGGATATATTCCACAATACGGTGAACTTGTTGGGGGCAGGAGTGTTTCGCTCGGAAACCGAATTGATGGGGAATGATAAGAGGGTCACCGTCTGTGGGAAACAGATGGCGCCTCATGCGATTTTGAATGACTCTTTCAAAGAGCTTGCCCATGGCCTTGAGGAGGCTAATGGGACGATGACTGGAGGGGAGATTAAGAGGCTTGCCTGGCTTGGGAATACCAATCACAGTTGCCTCTTTCCACGTAGTGGGAAAGTAACTAAGGTTGAAGCAGGCATTGAAGATAATAGATAAAAGGGTTAGCACCTGCTCAGGAAAGTTTTTTAGGGCTTGGTTGGAGATGCCATCCGCGCCCGGAGCCTTTTTAGGCTTAAGTCCTTTGATGAGGGATGAAAGCTCATCATTGGACACAGAGATAGGTTCGGAGGCTGTAGGGGGCGAGTTCCGGCGGCGGACCTCATCCTCCACTGCCTGGACGTGTGAGGGGTCTACGGGTTGAGAGCTAGGAGAGCATTGAGCGGCAATGCTGTCTGCAAAGCACTCAGCCTTTTCCTCGTCCTCGAAGGCTACCGTACCGTCGGGACGGGAGAGAGGGGGAGTGTGGAAGATAGCGTCTATGCGGAGGGCTCTTGCCATCTGATAGTACGCTGTATGAGAGGGAGAGATATTCTCCATGAGCTTACTCTTTTTGAGGTCTCGAAATTCAGAGAGGCGGAAACGGAGTTCTCGTTGAAGACGATTGGCCGTGCGCCTATATTCGGGCGTGGGATATTTTGCTGCTCTCCGGAAAGCAGCTTTTTTGGCTTTTAATAGGTTGCTAATATGCAGGGGAAGCCCACTATTATTAGCAACCGGGACGACCCTTTCATTCTCCTTAAGGGAGGTTTTAATAAGGGTGGAGAGTGAATCGACCGCGGTGTCGATTTTTTCAGGACTGTCTAAGTCCGAAGATAGGGAGATGGGGGAGTCCTGTGAGTCCAGAGCTTTCGCTAGGGACTCCTTGAAGCCCTTCCAATTTGTGAAGGTTTTTCTTGCCTGACCCCCATCCGTTAAATACGTACCGTGCGAACCAACTTCGTTCCAAAAAAACTTGAAAAACCAAGAGCGACGAGTATTACAAAAAGTATTAACAAATATATTACAAAAGACAAAGTATTTATTAAAGAAATTAATTTGCAGATGATGCGGCTTTTAATCTTCGTTAGCCTTCTGGCTCTCTGCCGGGGGCAAGAGAGCCCTACATCGGGTGACCTGGACTCAGTCATCAAACAAATCTTCGGAGACCCCAACAGCATGACTACAGCTAACCCCGTAGCTCAAGCGTCCACGTTGGTACCGGGAATTTCCGATAATAACGGTAAGTGAAACTTTTATTATGTTGTATTAAAGGCGATTGTGGTTACAGTGATATGTCATAACTTTCGATAGATGACGTCATAGCCATCTCGTTAACGCCAGGTGTAAAAAACCCCGCGGCAGCAACATCAAAGCTAGTGTTTGACCACAATCATACAGTCAATGTGGCGCTACTGTCGTCACAAGCGAAACACACCAAAGCCTAAATCACGCTATCAAAGTTCCGAAGTACTGCGGTATATGAAGAATACTCAGTACTACCACATTGAGCATTAGCCGCTCCGACCTTGCCCGGTTGGAGATCTCTCGTTTTCCTCACACGGTTCCTGCTGTTAAGTGGTGATGTAGCCCTAGATGGTGAATCACTGTCATTGCGTAACAAAGGCCTATTTACTCTTACCTTAAAGACGCTTAGATTTCGGACGGACATTCAAACGACGCGACGGCGCATTGTTCCATTGCTTGGTCGTACGCATTACGAAAAACTAAGCAAACCGTTTCGTTCGATTGCGAGAGATATAGACAAAAAAGTTTTAAGGAACCGCCGACCGCCTGATTGTTCGATGATGGAAAGGCTTCCCTTCGGAGGAAAGCACGTCTATTGCGGATATTTGATTATTCTTGTTTTACTAAATAGTTTACACTTCAGGGGTTTTTTTATAGCATAGGGTGACAAACGAGCACACAGTCCACCTGATGGTAACTGGTTACTGTGGCCCATAGGCATCTACATTTATCCTCGTTTGCGAATCAAAATGCAGATGCGTTGTCACCCGTGAGGACTAAGGTGGAATGCCTCTTTTCCAGTAAAAAAGGTCTCCGGTTCACAACAATCATCATACGAAACACAGCAGTGTTAAGCTGCTATTTAACGCTGGTATTCTCTGAGAGCGTGGTCCTTCCACGGTCGAGCCGACCCATTCTTGCTACAACTATACTATTAATATAGCTGCAGCATGGCTCTACCAAGTTAAAAATTTAAATTTTTCTATTTCATATATATTCTAGTTCTATTCAAATTCATTTAAATTTTTCATATAATAACTGTAAAGTTATATATGCTTAAATACCATCACAAAATACCCGCGTAAAATAGCAGCTTAACGCTGTTGTGTTTCGTATGGTGAGTGTAGAGAACCGGAGACCCATTTTACTGGAAACGAGGCATTCCATCTTAGTCCTCACGGGTGACAACGCATCTGCATTTTGATTCGTAATTTAGGATTAGATGTAGATGTCTATGAGCCACAGCAACCACTTACCATCAGCTGGACTTTGTGCTCGTTTGTCACTTTTATCCTATAAAAAATATATTTTCCGAACCAGTAGTAAATAAAATAAATGAATACTATGACATACATGAAAATCATTATATTCTCTTCTATTCTATTCTTTACTGTATCGACCACAATTTAAGACCCAAAATACAAATAAATATATTATATTTATTATTATTTCTTCTAGGTGGCGACAAGAGCTGCAAGTTGGAAGACGGCAGCATAGGCGAATGCGTCCGATACTATTTATGTAACGGCAACAACTCTGTCATCACTGACGGTATCGGCATCATTGATATACGGTGAGTACTTCATTACACATACGGTCACCCATCCACTGTTGAACGTAGATTTCCTTGACACGACCCTTAGCCATGTACCTCGCCACCCGGGTGGAAGAGAAGCCATATTTTTTCTATTACCAGGTTGATTTCTGGATTTGGACAGCTGCACCACCTACCGGGTCTAATTATGTATCTAAACTATCCAGGGACCCATCTAAACACGTAATATTTTTTATCAATATCCGTACAGCCGTTTAAGAGAAATTCAGTGACAAACACAGGTACAGAAGAAGATTAAAAATTTGTGTTTGACTTTTATTCAACCTGATGGCTAGTGATGCAACCGAAAATGGTTGTTCGCGCCACATTGCACTACCGCTTAACGCTTATGAGATTCGTTAATTATTATCCAATAAGAGTACTGCAAAACCCATTTCCGGGTTTCCTATCTACCGCTTTTTATAACTTTAGCGTGTGCACTCTTGTGTTAACGAGGTTCGCATGAGTTCAGAATACACGAAACCAACCACGTCTCTCCTATTACACGGCATCGCATTTTCTATAATTTTGATATTGAACTATACAAAAATATAGTAAAGTGTATCTATGAACTTTATATTTGTATGTATGTGTGAAGAAAGCCGGCGTCCAATCATCCTTTTCTATTTATAGGATAGGGTGACAAACGAGCACACAGTCCACCTAATGGTAAGTGGTTGCTGTGGCCCATAGAAATCTACATCTATCCTCGTTTGCGAATCAAAATGCAGATGCGTTGTCACCCGTAAGGACTAAGATGAAATGCCTCTTTTCCAGTAAAATGGGTCTCCGGTTCTCTACACTCACCATACGAAACACAGCAGTGTTAATTATGTATATTATATTCTGTGAGAGCGTGGTCCTTTCCCAGTCGAGCCGACCCATTCTTGCTACAACTATACTATTAATAAAGCTGCAGCATGGCTCTACCACGCAGAAATCGTGGCTGCAGCCCTTGAGACATCCTTCTTGTAGCCTGAATTTAGGGACATTTGCAGAATCGTGAAATAGTGAATTCGCACCGTACCAATAACTAACCAATAACCAGCAGTTGGTCATTTAAACCTACACGTGATTTTTGGTCCCTCTCGCTGAATTATAATTAATTAATTAACCATTTTTGGTCACTACGGTCGGGATAATTTTAACCAATGGTAAATCGCACAAACTTAGCTTAAAAAAGCAATTCACTCTTGCCTTGAATACACCCACATGATAATCAGATGAAAACACAGATGTTAACAAACCTTTCCACTCCCTTGTTGTACGCATTGCGATTGACGAAGCTAAAGGTTTAGTTCGAATGCGTAAAATGTCGACCACAAAGAGATGGAGACATCTCGTTGCCCGAAAGTGGAAAGGGAAGGGAGAAATTAAATCATGTAATACGTGCGGACCCTCTCTAAAATGGATACTATAGAACATTCTATATGATCGGAAGCTTAGCTACACTGTACCTGTACTCGGGACTGATAATTCGTAGGTTATGAAAATCAAATGGCCAAAGAACGTTCAGTCCGCCTAATTGTAAGTGGCCACTGCAGTCTATGGCCTGCAGCCAACAGTATATAAAGGAGACTACAGATGTGTTGTCACCCTTCAAGACTAAGATGGAACGTTTCACAGCCTGTAGCTATACTGACCCTTTATACCCTGCAGCCCGGTACACCGCATGCAAGTACTGCTATTGACGGACGTCTATGCAGTTAATGGATTCTAACACTTTGTAAAGAAACAGTGTAATCGGTTTCAACCAATCTAAGCTCACCAAGAAGCCTCTCAGCAGGCCTCTACGCTAAATCTTATACTACTAGGTGATATTTTGCAGCACCATCCCATTTGTAACAACAGTACTGCATACACGATCAAGAAAGTTTACTGTCGTGAAGTACTGTACAGTGCCTCAGTCAGATTTCACGTTGAGCCCTGATCCAGCAATTGGCTGCTAGCTATTGCTTACAAAGATATAAACACTCACGCCTGTCACCCAGAGGGGTAGCCAGAGACTACGGACTTTCATTTAGCACGATCCTAACACACCTTTCTCGCTTCCTTTACGTCCAAATATCGCCGCATACTACATGCTCGTCGGTTAAGGGTACTCACAAATATATTTGTTCCAGTGTACGCGACGGCCCGTGCGCCTCGTACATGGACACGTGCTGTCTCCCACCAGACACAAGGGATATCACTAACCCAATAACGCCTCCACCCCCCACACAGCCAGAGGTAAGTAAATTAAGAATCATTATCTCCTAGTACGTAAAAGTAAAAATTTCCGTGTAGTGACGACTAGACAGACGTGTGTCAATCATGAATGATTCGTTCATTTGACCCGGGACAGATCAAAGTATTGATTATTATGATTACAATAACTCAAACTATTGACAGGACCTACGACCAAAGAGTATAGTAATATCCGACGATCGACATTATCACAGAGTAATGAAACTCGAAATGATCGACCCGAATAATCCGCTTCGTACGACGAATCAATACTTGGATGATCGGGTCACTAGATATGAATGAATGACATATGTCTCCTAACAGCGTATGAATTCATCGCTCCGTTACCGTTACAGCCTATTAAAGTCCACCGCTGAATATAGACCTCCCCCATAGATTGCCACATAAGTGTATATTGGCCATAGCTGAAACCTGGCGATCAAGTTTTTTTTTATTAGCAACCGCAGTATTTTTATTTTTAATCGCTACAAGCGATTTGCCCCGGCTTCGCACGGATGATTTCTGGATCTCTACAATAGCGCCACCCATCAGGTCCAAATGTGAATATAAACCACCCATTAAAACACACACAAAAAGTTTAAACGCAGATGCGTTGTCTGACCCCTGAGGACTAAGATAGAATGCCCCGTTTCCAGTAAAAAGGGTCTCCAGTTCTCTACACTCACCATACGAATTACAGCAGCATTTATATGTAGCTGCTATTTTACACTGGTATTCTTTAAGACACTGCTGAACAAAGGCCTCCTACATAGATAAAAAACGAGTTGAATGTAAATTCAAGAAAAACAACTTCCTTCTGCGTGAATCCCATATCTCTGGTGCCCTTTGACCTACATGACCCAAATTCAAACTCGACCGAGCTACTACCTCAAGGTATCCACATACCAAATTTAAAGTCAATCGGTCCAGTGGAACGGAAGTTATCGTGTCGGCATACAGACTAACAGACTGCCAGCTAAAACCATTAACTTCCTTTCAATGCTACGCAGAAGGAAGTTAATAAATGGCAAACAGGCATCACGTTACAAAACCATCTTAAATGTCATATCTCCATACTGCAATCCTTCTGCTGATCTTAAAAACCAGATTTTTAACCCCCGACGACACGTATATGTTTGTAGTGTGTATCTGTGTGTATGTGTGTCTGTCTGTGCCAACACAGCTCCTGAACGGATGAACCGGTTTTGATTAAGTTGTTTTCGTTTGAGAGGTGTCTTAATCGAGTGTTCTCAGCTATGTTTCAAGAAAATCTGTTCAGCCGTTTGAAGATCACCAGCCCTTTTTGTTTCGCGGGTTTTTAATTTTTTTAAATTTAAGTTATTCGAAACTAGATACCCACTTGGCCATCATGTAAATATAAATCGTATTTAATTATCAAACAGGAAAATTAATGAAGAACTGTTTTTTTACTTGTTTTCAAACGTTGAAGATGAGTCATATCCGCGTTAAGTAACCTAAGGTCAGGTGTGGCGAATGCAATCATCTATAATATAAAAATGAATCGCTGAATGTGTTGCTAAGCGCAAATCTCGAGAGTGGCTGAACCGATTTCGCTAATTATTTTTTTATAATATTCCTTGAAGTACGAAGATTGTTCTTACGGAGAGAAAAATTTAATAAAATTGCCTGAAAAATTCTAAAAACAACACTTTTCTATATTCCCATACAAAAGATTCGTAATAATACTTAAAAGTAAATTTGAACTTTAATACCATATCATAAAGTTTAAGTGTTACTGGAGGGGTTCCGGGTAGGCAAAACAATTTAGTGACGTCAGTATCGTATAAATATTAATGTCAATATGTGACTTATCAAATTTCTTTTTTCTTTTTTTTTTATCTTACTAGCTGATCCGGTGTCCCGACTAGCAGAATAAGTATTAAAAATAAAATTAAAGAATCGACTGTTAGGCGGTACGGAGTTCGCCGGGTCAGCTAGTACGAATAATATTTGTATACTAAATTCTGCCTGCGGCTTCACCCCCATGCGTGTAGACACTCCTTACAGTTCATTTTCCCGCAACTTCTCTTTTTTTTTAGAGCCGTAGTATCTCAGGGGCTACGAGTAAGTGCTCGTTGTAAATTTCACAGTACGCGAGCAATCCGGGTTCGATCCCCGCCGACACCAATTAAATTGTTAGTTGCAAATTTTAAGTGCAGATTTACCACGCTCTCGGAAGGAAAACATAGTGAGGAGACCTGCATGTCAGAGAAATAACAAGAAAAATATTTCGAAGACATGTGAAGAGAACTTCAGCACGTATATAGCGGGTTTATTATGTACTTAAAGCTTCTACGACACACGAGACATTTCTGTTGTGAAGAAAAGGTATTTTTAAACGCGATTATCACAGACAAAATATAATTCGTTTACAACAATATCGAATAATTCTCAGAAGCGTTGATGAGGAAAACGTAGGTATATATATATGACTTTCGCAAATCGATCTCACACTCGCCCGAGGTCAGACTTGAGGTCACATGTTAGTTACACCGTTTCAAGGTCTGCAGATCACAAACACAAGAACTGGTTTGTTGATAGAGAATATCTTTTTCAGTACTTACAAAATCAAACAGATATTTTACTAAAATAATAAACACTTTTAATTGTAAACGAGGCATTCCATCTTTGTTGTCGGGTGTGAGAACGCATCTGCATTTTGACTCTTAATTGAGGATAGTTATAGCTTGTAGATCTCTATGGACTACAACATCCACTTACCCATCATGTGTATTGTGTGCCCGTTTGTCAGTCTTGTTCTATAAATAATGTAAACCGACTTCAAATTGTTAATAAAGAAGTTATTTATTTGCTACCCTTAGGTGTGAATTTTTTTCTCAAATTCATATATACCACCACCCTTGAAGTATAACCTGTTTAATAAAAAAAGAATCATCAAAATTGGTTCACAATCTGCGAAGATACCGCGTCACATACAAACAAAAATATAAACATACACTCGAATTGAGAACCTCCTCCATTTTGAAGTCAGTAAAGCCGAATTCAAAGTGTTGAATATTATGAAATCGGTGCAGTGGTAAGACACATACTGGTATTATATTCAGAGACGAACTCTAAGAGTCACGGTGCAGTTACTTATGGTTGTAGCACGCATAGCTCGACCCGACCGGAGAAGAGCCACGTTCTCACAGAACAGCAGCGTAAATTAGCAGCTTAAAGCTGCAAGCAATAGAAAATAAAAATGATAATTAGCTACGTCATATACACATTTAACTAATAAATAATAAACTATACTAATTTAATTTTTTTATAGGATAAGGGTGACAAACGGGCACACAGTCCACCTGTTGGTAAGTGGATACTGTGGCCCATAGACGTCTACATTTATCCTCAATTAAGAGTCAAAAATCCAAACGCATTGACACTCCTGAGGCCTGAGATGAAATACCTCGTTTTCAGTAAAAAGGGTCTACACTCACCACACCATACGAAATACAACATATTTGTTTAAATTTGTCAAATTTTCCTCTAATATAATATAACTAGCTGTTCCCCGCGACTTCGTTCGCGTGGAATTTATCACGATTGGTTTTCATGGGTTTTAATATTTATTTCTATTCAAATCAATCGATTACGAATCAAAATGCAGATGCGTTGTCACCCGTGAGGACTAAGATGGAATGCCTCGTATCCAGTAAAACGGGTCTCCAGTTCTCTACACTCACCATACGAAACACACCAGTGTTAAGCTCGTATTTTACGCTAATATTCTGTGAAATACATACTTAAATACAAATATTTACATATATACATTATATACAACACATAACTGAATATATATACGTCTGTTTAGAAATATACTATGACATTAATGATTCATGTAAGAAACGTTGTATTTAATAAATGATTACGTAGCAAGTTTTTAAAAGCATACTATAATCAAATTTTGAGACTGACTTTAAGTTTAAACTTAAGAATGTCGCTGCCATGGTGTAAAAAAATAATTAAAGCACTCCGCATTGCGGACTACTAGCAAGCTTATTAATTAAACTAAAAATAGATACTTTAAATGTTGCAATTATATATATTTATTAGGTATTTATCACTTAGGTCGAAATCTCTAGAACAGTGTTTCTTAAGGCGACACCGCGAAAAAATGCGCCTCCTTTCATCGAATAGTATAGGAGTATGACACGACTAACGAAACTGGAATTTTGATATAAGTAAATTCATGTCTTTATCTTGAGTTTGCTTGCTCAAAAACATGATTGTAAAATTTTGACTCGATCATAATTATTTGCGAAAACACCTCTAAAAAATCACTATAGTTGAAATTACAACGAAATTACTTAATCTATATGCTTGGGAACCACTCAAATACATTCATAACATCAATATTCGTAATTTACTTGCTCATTATTTTGATTGCTAAAATCAATAATTTTTTTTAAATATTTTAAGATTCTACGCGATTTCTAAGCGGTTTTAATAGTCGCGGACGCTACGCAATTTTAGACCTTATGACGGCTTTTTTGAAGTTTTTATAGAAATTATTTATTTATTTATTTATTTATTTAAAACTTCATATACACATGTGGTATATAGGCGGACTTAATGCCTAAGGCATTCTCTACCAGTCTACCTTGGGTTATGTTTTACTCTGGTTAGTCCGGCGATAGCCCGCTTCAACGGTTTTCGATGTGTCGCCTTAACCGGTGGTCAGTGAAGGCATCCACGCGAAAGCATCGTGCAATACCCTCACATAATAAAGTAGACAAAATTTTTAAAGATTTGTTGCGGTGTGTACTGTCGCCGCAGCTTACAATAAGGCGTTGCCACATTAAAAAAAGGGGCGCACAATAGCGTCTCTTAAATAATCTAAATTTTATACGTGGTAGAGCCATGCTGCAGTTATTTAGTAGTATAGTTGTAGCACGTATGGGTCGGCTCGACCGGGGAAGAACCACGCTCTCACAGAATACCATCGTAAAATGGCAGCTTGACACTGCTGTGTTTCGTATGATGAGTGTAGAGAACCAGAGAGCCATTTTACTGGAAAAGTGGCATTCCATCTTAGTTCTCACGGGTGACGATGCATCTGCATTTTGATTCTTTACTGAGGATAAATGTAGATGTCTGTGGGTCACCGCGGCAACTTACCATCAGGTAGGCTGTATGCTCGTTTATCAACCTTTCCTATAAAAAAAGAATAAATTTAAAAATAAATCTTACTCTCATTGATATGTCTAAAATGGTGGTTTGTGGCAAGACAAAAATCTATCAAATAATCCCTCATAACTAAAACGTTAAAAAACCACCGCCCTGGAACTTATAACCATACATTGGGACAGACAGATATAAGGGTTCTCTATTTAACGGTGGAACCTTAAATACGAAAGGTATGTGGTGTAAAGGTATAAGGTATAACTAAACCTTAGTTAAAGTTAAAGTTTATGTACGTCTATACTATGGGGCGTTCAAGTTCTTTATATGTACGTCTCACCGCTGGGCACAGGCCTTCTCTCACATCTTAGAGGGTTTGGGGCAAAGAAGTGTCTGCCGCGCTGCCCTAGTGCGTGTTGGCAGACTTAAAATGACTTCGAAATATTTATTTTTCTTATTTCGCAGACTCTCCTCACTATGTATTTCCTTCGCTGCCGAGCACGTGTTAAATCAGCACTTAAAACTGCAATTAAGAATCCCGAAAAACCCGGATTGCTCGCATACTGTGAAAACGTACTTTTACTTAATTCTACTGCGTTTTTCAGCGACTGGGCTGCGGCTGGCGCAACACCGATGGCGTCGGTTTTCGCATCACTGGCGACAAGGACGGCGAGGCTAAGTTCGGTGAATTCCCCTGGATGGTTGCTGTTTTGAAGTAAGACAAAAAAATCCAACTACTAGTTTGTTTAATAACTTTATAAACACATATCGTTACCATAACAGTCTATTAAAGTCCACTGCCGAACATAGCCCTCTCCTATAGATTGTTCCATAGGAATACCTGCCATAACTACCTGCCACACCTTTTAGGAAGACGCTGCTGCCCATCTTCCTGATGTGTTTCCCTCTGTCGCCTCTTACGACACCCACGGAATGTTATGGGGTAGTGGATATTCTTACACCGCCACTACACAGTATTATAAACACAGAGAGATTAATAATCTTCCGTTAACTAGACTACTAGTTGGGACTGAGGTGAAGTTATTTGTTACACAATAAAAGTTTGTCGATTTTGAAAGTATTATGTAAATACATAAAACCATGCCTCAGTGGCTTGCTCTTTAATTTTTTTTTTCACAAATTTTAACTTGTTTTTCTTTTTAACTCTTCTATATTTTTTTATTTTTTTTATATGATAAGGGTAACAAACGAGCACACAGTCCACCTGATGGTAAGTGGTTGCTGTGGCCCATAGAAATCTACATCTATCTTCGATTAAGAATCAAAATGCATATGCGTTGTCACCCGTGAGGACTAAGATGAAATGCCTCGTTTCCAGTAAAAAGGGTCTCCGGTTCTCTACACTCACCATACGAAACACAGCAGCGTTAAGCTGCTATTAGACGCTGGTATTGTGTGAGAGCGTGGTCCTTCCCCGGTCGAGCCGACCCATTCGTACTACAACCATAATATAGCTGCAGCATGGCTCTACCACTTAGGAATATCCGTAGTTTGGTACATTCTTTTCCAATGTATTTATTATACAAATTGTTACTAATATTTAAGATAGAAACATTAACCCCTTACATTTTCCTAACAAAATAGACTATCCCCGCCATGAAATCTGTCAAATAGTTCACCACACTCCTAACTGTCACCGTCCTGGTGGCAGAAAAGGTCGTGGATGTTTAGTTGATCAGCGGCGCAAGAAAATCATCTACTCCCAATGTCATACCCTACACCCGTCGATGTCGTAACAGGTGGCAGGCGCAAACTGAAACAAGAAATACGCATTAGCATCTGATAAAAACTTTGCCTGCAGCCATATTAGTTGTAGCACGAATGGGTCGGCTCGACCGAGAGCACCACGCAGCGTGGCTCTCAAAGCTGCCGCGTGGCTCTTCCACTGTTATGTTGTCTGCCTATATTATTAACTGCAATCCACTTCGTTATTATTTATACGTTACGTTATTTAGTAGCAAGTAGCTTTGCTTTACTATGCCCTGCAGTGGGCGACAAGGGGCTGACGATGAAGTAGTTTTGCACTTTAAAGTATTTAGTTTAGTTTAAATAGGGCCCCAATTTCATTTATGCCCCGGGGCCCATGGTTACATAGATACGCCACTGTCCACGCTCGTAGAACACCAGCATAAAATAGCAGCTTAACGCTGCTATGTTTCGCATGGTGAGTGTAGGGAACTGGAGACCCTTTTTACTGGCGACGCATTCTTAGTTCTCAGTTCATTCTATATATATATATATACGATATATGAATGTATGGATTAGTGGGCTGAAGTGACAATGGGGGGCGGTCATATAGCTCAAAGAACCGACAACCGATGGGGAAGAAATGTTCTCGAGTATGAGCCTTGTACCGGAAGGCGAAGTGGTCGGAGTGACGATCTGGCACGACATGCAGGAAGTCGATGGATACAGGTGGTTCAGGACCGTGCTTTGTGGCTTCCTTGGGCTGAGGTCAATGTTCAGCAGTGGGATTTTATAACTTCATGTATTGGAGACAACAAGTTTTTTCTCGCATTTCCCAGTCTTCGCGTATTAGAACACTGAAGGGATGAAATGTGGTGATTTATTCTCTAACGCGGCTATCATACAACTGAAGCTAATTATTTAAAAAAAACTGTTATGTCAAAAGATTAAGAGAGATTGGCGGAGAGACTCGCACAGTGGTTTAGCTTAGCGCTGAGCGCCACGGGTTCAAATCCCGCACGGAATAATTGTTTCGGGTCTGGATGTTTGTCCTTGAGCAATTTATGTAAACTGCCTATACGATACACGAGAAAATCCTTGTACTTTTAAAAAAAAAAGAAATTAACTCTGAAGGTGAAGGTTTAAACTGGAATTGAAATTATTCGAATGGAACCCAGGGCCCTTGATTTGGTAATTATGTTTTTTTTTTATATGACGCAACGTAATGCAGTTGTCTTTGCATGATGAATGACAAGTACTGGGTCCTATCCTTCCATCTTAGTCCTCAGGGGTAGCGACGTATCTACATTTTGATTCTTAATCGAGGATAGATATAGATGTCTATGGGCCACAACATTCACTTACCATCAGGTGAACTGTGTGCTCGTTTGTCACCCTCATTCTATAAAAAAAAATGATGTCCTTTGAAAATTCTTGAAATTAGAATTATTGGAATTCCGCTCCAATAATTCTAATTTAATATATACAGGGTTATTTTGCAATAACCGGCCATATTTGCAGAAAAGTTTCAGAATAAGTAATACGAGAAGCAAATGGTGAAGAAAAATTAATTTGAAAAAATCTTAAACATTCTGTCCTTTTTATCTTTTAAATTCAAAATGCGTGGTAATACATTATTTTAACTGATTTTACTGCGCACGCACACATTCGTAAGGGTCGATCGATAGGCAAAAACGTTGTTGGCCATAAATCACATTCAATTTGGGATAATTTCAATTAAAAGTAGAAGTCTTATTTACTCGTATTTTCACAAACTTCATTATTTATATCTTTTAACATAGGTTTAAAATTTGACTACTCTTTGAAAAATAACCCTGTATATATAAAAAAATATTACAAAAAAATTAAAAACTACAGTTATTTGAATAAAATTTCATTGTGACTTTTAAATTCATTATATAATTTCGTTTATAGATAACTTTTATCGAAGATTTAAAAATTATCCTAAAATAACTTAAAATTAAACAACTTTTTAATAGACTGTAACTAACGGTAATGGAATAGCTTATTCCATTACCGTTAGTTACAGTCTATTAAAGTCCACTGCTGAACATAGGCCTCCTCATATATTGTCTCAAAGGGTGGATATTTACTATAGTTGTAATGTTACTGTTGATTTGACAATTTCACCTCTCAGTGGGTCATGTGCTCCTGGTAGATTGTCTTCTATACATCCATCCACTACTGCCGGTTAAAGTCCACTGCTGAACATAGGCCTCCTCTATAGATTGTCTCATAGGGTATTTGCCATAGTTGTAATGTTACTGTTGATTTGACAATTTCACCTCTCAGTGGGTCATGTGCTCCTGGTAGATTGTCTTCTATACATCCATCCACTACTGCCGGTTAAAGTCCACTGCTGAATATAGGCCTCCCCATAGATTGTCTCGTAGGGGGGGATATTTACCATAGTTGTAATGTTACTGTTGATTTGAAAATTTCACCTCTCAATGGGTCATGTGCTCCTGGTAGATTGTCTTCTATACATCCATCCACTACTGCCAATTAAAGTCCACTGCTGAACATAGGCCCCCCCGTAGATTGTCTCATAGGGGGGATATTTGCCATAGTTGCCACGCTTGGCAAGCGAGCTTGCAACCATAGTTTATTTTTTATTTTTAGTCGTTCTTAGGAAGACGCTGCTGCCCATCTCCTAATTTGATTCAGAGGGAATCTGTCGCCTCTTACGACACCCACGGGAGAATTCGGGGTAGTAGATATTCTTACATAGCCATCGAATCATAAGTCGTAAAATTTTATTTCATAAACGGTTTTCATACGCATTATGTATTGTAAAACGTCTCGTACGGGAAAACGAAGCGATTTTAACTATAGAATCCTGGCGTAACTCGCACCTTTAAACGCAGAGGATCTACAAATTAATATAATGTCAAGTTCGGATTACGTTGACCCCAGAATCGAACCTGTGAACGACAACGAGCCCAACGGCCAGAAGCTTAATGTCTACGTCGGCGGTGGATCTCTGATCCATCCTAGTGTTGTGCTGACAGCAGCGCACTATGTCGCCGGAGCTAAAGCTCTCAGGGCTAGAGCCGGAGAATGGGACACCCAAACCACTAAGGAGATCTATCCGTACCAGGATAGGGACGTGGCCAGAATCGAGGTTCACAAGGACTTTAACAAAGGTGAGTGGGACATCACCCATTGTTCAGTACAAGAGCTTAAAAAAAAGACTTTGTGAACACTAAGCCGTAATTCTTTTAAACCGACTTCAAAAAAAGAGGATGTTCTCAATTCGACTGTGTGTTACCTCATAACTTTTTTCTAGGTAAAGCGATTATGACGATTCTTTTTCATTTGAAAGCTGGTGCTTCTCATGTGGTCCCATATAGATTTGATCAAAATCTGACCAGCACTTTATGAGTTATCTTTAATAATGTTTATTTAATTGACTTCGACAGCGTTGATGATGTTCTCATTTTGTTTATATTGAAGTCGGTTTTACAAAATTTTTAATTTTACTACTTGTTACTCCTATACTTTGATATATACAATATAATACAACTTTATGTATGTATGTATGTTTGTTCCTTGTGGTGCTCTAGAGTCAAAACGCGTGGGCCAAGTTTTGACGACTCGTACGTCAATCGATTTATCTTAATCTTGTGAGTGTCACTAAAGACATGACAGTAATCAAAATTCAATATGGCGACAACCAGACGCCATATTTCTTTAAAGAAAAAAAATAATGTCGATGAACTATATCAAGTGGGATATGATTGATTAGGTCTTTGAAAATTATATTTAGGTTTCTCTAGTCATTTTTAATTTTGAATAACCATTTAGGATTTATAACGATTCAAAGTTAGTTAGCAACCATTATCGCTTAAATATTCAAACTTATAATAAAGCTGTGATAAAGTTCTTATATAAGTATAATCATATTTTAAGTATAATTAGTCATTTTTTTTACGCTGAATGTTTTTTATACAGTATTAAACTTGCTTGTTAGCTTATCTCAGCTAAAAAGTTTATCTCAGCTAGCCATGATTAGTTATTTCTGTCTCTAGAACCTCACAATGCGTGTTAAATTTAACTTTTAGAAGAAATATCTCAAAGTCGAAAACAAAGCCCTAATTTCTCTTTCAGGCAATCTCTTCTATGATATCGCTTTGCTATTCCTGGCACAACCCATGGATTTGGCACCGAACGTTGGTGTGGTATGTCTGCCACCACCGCGCGAGAGGGTACCTGGTGGTACTCGATGCTTTGCTTCCGGTTGGGGCAAGGACAAGTTCGGAAAGGAAGGACGATACCAGGTTATCCTCAAAAAGGTATGTTAAATGATTATTGGGTGGAAGGAAACAAAAATAAACTCTTTAAAGCTTCCTTTTCTTGTTTAACGAAAGTATATAAAAAATATGATACTTCATTTTAACAAAATAAGGTCGTTTTCATAATGCTACGCTAGGCTGCATGCGTATAGACCTTTTGCCTTTACATAACTTTTAAAAAATCGAGCGTTCTGTTCTGTAACTATGGAGTGTAGAGTAGAAGGAGAACCATCTTATAAGGAGCGAAGGTTGAAAAAGTGTCCTACTATTTACTGAAAATAGAGGTTCCAAACCCTACCACAATAGCGCTGGCGTCTGAAAAACTACGATATGAAGATAGCTGTTATGAACGGAGTGAAGTCAGCTGAATTCCAATATTTCATGACTAGAGTAGTTAGTAAAACGCCAATATACAAAATCTCAACTATTTACGTAGTACAAAACCAAGCGGATTGATCGGTCCTTATTTATTTCTCCATCTTACTCTAAATAATTTTGGCGCTTCTTTTTTAATTTATCCTATGCTACTGCAGCGCCACCCTTATTGGACACGTTTTTAGGGACACTTTTCATATACAGAGATGGTCCTCCTTCTACTCTACACTCCATATCTGTAACCAAAGAGTATAAGTAGACATTTTGACTCTGTTACATAATGACTTTCGCCATTTCGGCGCTGATAGCAGAAGTGAGCGTCCACGGAACTAATAATAGAAATAGGACAGTGCGACAAAATATATCACTAAATTTTCTATACCTAGTTCTACAATTCTGTTTACGTATCGTTTTAATATAATGCCATACAATAAATGAATGTATCAATTAATACTTATGTCTTAGACACAAGCTTCATACCTCATATAAAACAAAAATCGACGCTGCATTAGTATAACTACGTTTTTCTTCCGTGTTCCACCATTGGATAAGTATGGTTCATTCGAGATTTATTTATAACTGGCTTTACGGCTTGGGGTTCTAGCCCTTCTGAGCCTGAAGTTAGAATGTATAATTATATTTCATAGTATACTGCTTCACAATATGTTGATGCGTCACATTGTGCAGCCCTTAGGAGATTTTGGAGGCAAATTGAGACAGCAGACAGCTGATAGTTGGCGATGGTATCTCAAAGCGCCTAAGCAACCAGACACCTTATCTTGAGAATCACATCACCATCAGAGCACTTGTTTCACCTTTTCCACTAATAGTTCACATATGTAGGATACTTAATACACAAAATCGCACCACTTTTACATATAAAAATCTACTTCACATCATTATTTAAACGATAATATAGGAGCAGCAAACCGCCGCCGGTCAAGTTCCCGCCAAAACTCCGTTCATTCGAGACTTTTAAAAGGCCAATGAGTAGGAAAAACTGGAGTAGGTAACTACAAAATATAAATAAAATATATATAATTTTGTAAATAATTTTTGTTAACCATTCATTTAGTCCACGTAATAGAGAAAATCAATAAACTGCCAAAATATTATACCTATTTCAACCATATCTATAGGTACAATCAGAATTTTACACTTAAATTACATTAAATAATACCATACCACAAATCGTTGACGTCATAATCAATTTGCTTCGAACGCCAATTCACAAGTTTTATGCTTTTTAGTCACAGTCTTAGTCTATACTAAGTCAGCGACTTTCATTATTGTAAACAGATATAGGTAGAAAAAACATCGACAAATACTATCGACAAGCAACTCGTCAACCCTATTGAATTTATTCCTTATCAAAAATAGATAATTTAAAGCCAAATATATTAGTAATTACATTTAAAAAGAGAAGTGACAGATTTTTAAGAGCCTGTATTATCAAATAGTTTTAATTTTTTTTAATATAATCTGTAAATCCCCTTACTTGTGAAATGTTACCATTGTCATTGTTACTAAAAATACTTATTGCATGCCGTAAGCGCAAAGCGCGCAGGTATGTTCTACTAGGGCTTAAAAATTAAGTTTCCAACGTTTTGTCGCATGAACTCGTACCTACCTAGTATATACATATTATAAATGATGATATAAAAAGCACATTTTCGGAAAGATAAATGATTGTTGAACTTATTGTTACGAGCTTGGGGTTCGAGACAATTAAAAACTGCCGAGTGAATTACCAAAATTGACACTTTAATTACACAACACTAATTACAATCTAAAATCACACTAATAATAAAACATAGTTCGCCGTTATTTCGCGTCGAAGTATTCTCTTGTATCGCCAATTCAATACTGCCTCGGTCGTGGTCTATACCGGCCTTATATAGGGCCTCAGATAGTTTCCAGAACCTTCTACTGTAGCGACATCTAGAATGTTCGAGTACATCATCATCATCATTACAGCCCTTCACAAGTCCACTGCTGAACATAGGCCTCCCCCAAAGAATGCCACAAAGCACGGTCCTGAGCCACCTGCATCCATCGACTTCCTGCATGTCTTACCAGGTCGTCACTCCATCTCGTGGGGGGACGCCCTACACTTCGCCTACCGGTACGAGGCTGCCACTCAAGAACCTTTCTTCCCCATCGATTGTCGGTTCTTCGAGCTATATGGCCGGCCCACTGCCACTTCAGCTTACTAATTCGTTGGGCTATGTCGGTTATTCTGGTTCTACTGCGGATATCCTCATTCCTAAGTTTATCACGCAGAGAAACTCCGAGCATAGCCCTCTCCATAGCTCGCTGAGCAACCTTGAGCTTCCTCATACGGCCAGCAGTGAAGGACCACGTCTCAGTTCCGTAAGTCATCACTGGCAACACGCACTGGTTGTACAATTTCGTTTTAAGGTTTTGAGGTATGTCTGACGAGAAAATGTGTCGTAGATTCCCGAACGCTGCCCAACCGAGTTGAATCCGTCGATTGACCTCTCGGTCGAAGTTGGACTTACCTAGTCGGACTATTTGTCCCAGGTAAACATACTCGTCAACAACTTCGAGCTTAGTGCTCCCAACAAGTACCGGCATAGGTGTGACATGGACATTAAACATAATCTTTGTTTTGTCCATGTTCATCTTAAGACCTATCCGTTGGGAAACACTATTGAGGTCATTGAGCATAGTGCTTAGGCCCTCCAGCGATTCTGCCATAAGGACTATATCGTCGGCAAATCGAAGGTGAGTGATGTACTCGCCATTGATGTTGATACCGTACCCTTTCCAGTCCAGAAGCTTGAAAACGTCTTCCAATGCAGCGGTGAAGAGTTTCGGGGATATGACGTCACCCTGTCTTACACCTCTCTGCAATTGGATAGGTTTCGTACTCTGGTTCTGTACTCGGATAGCCATCGTAGCCCTACTGTACAAGCACTTCAACACTTCGATATACCGACAGTCAACTTGGCACCGCTGAAGGGACTGCAGCACCGCCCAAATTTCGACGGAATCAAAGGCTTTCTCATAGTCCACATACGCCAGACATAGTGGCAAATTGTACTCTTCGGACTTCTGTACAACTTGCCGAAGGGTATGTATGTGGTCTATGGTGCTAAAGCCCTTTCGGAAACCGGCTTGTTCGGGAGGCTGGAAGTCGTCAAGTCTGCGCGCGAGACGATTCGTAATGACTCTCGAAAACAGCACGTAGACGCGGCTCAGAAGGGAAATCGGTCTGTAGTTCTTCAAGAGAGCGTTGTCACCTTTCTTGAAGAACAAGACCACCGCACTTCTGCTCCACGCCTCCGGTGTAATGCCACCATGGAGGACGGAATTAAAGAGCTTCTGAAGGACTTCAAGTACCGGTTTTCCACCCGCTTTCAGAAGCTACGCTGTAATTCCATCCTCGCCTGGGGCCTTGCCGGTTTTAAGGTGCCAGCCATTCTAATCTCGCTCAGACTGACGTCCGGGATATCATCGGAATAATGTCGGATGAGACTCGCTCTTGGATCGTTACTCACACTTGCGTGTGGCTCCAACGATGACGTGTACAGCTGCCCATAGAACCTCTCAATCTCACTCAAAATCTCAGGTGTCCCGGAAACGATGCTGCCACACTCTGTCTTCAGCTTTGACAGTTGGCTCTTTCTGGCAGACAGATCTCTGGCAAGGACTTTGGAGCCTTGGTTCCGCTCGATCGCTTCTTCAATACGAGCTGTATTGAAGTTGCGTAAGTCCCGCCGCATGCATTTGGAGATCTGTCTGTTCAGATGCCTGTATGGTGTCAAGTCTGTTGAAGAATGTAGCTTCATCTCCCGTCTAACAGCCATGAGATTAAGAGTGTGATCGGAGAGTTTTTGTGTTCTTCTGCGGCGGGTCTTGCAGAACTTAGCTCCGACCGCATGGACAGTTTCCACGAGCTTGTCATTCATATCGTCCACTTCTTTGCAGTCTTCTAGGTACTGAAAACGGTTTTGTAACTCGAGCTGAAAGGTTTCGGGACTTTGGATTAGAGCACGAGGGGGACGGAGCGTTGACTTCATTAGACGAGACCTCTCCAATTTAACGTTTAGGTTCAGTGTGCCTCTAACCATTCGGTGATCGCTACCAGTTTTCACCCTTGCGATCACGGAGACATCACTGAACAGTTGTCGTCTGGTCGTCATAATGAAGTCAATCTCATTTTTTGTCGAACCGTCGGGGCTCGACCAGGTCCACTTCCTGTGGGGCCGCTTCTGGAAGAAAGAGTTCATCATAAAGAGTCCCTCTTTCTCCATGAAGTCGGCCAGCTGCTGGCCCCTTGGGTTCCGTTGCCCTATTCCAAATTTCCCTACTTTCAGCTCACCGTTCTCTCTTGTGCCTAGTTTTGCATTGAAGTCTCCCATTAACACCGTATATTGGGTTTTGGAGGAATGCATGGCTCTAGAGATATCCTCATACATTTCCTCCACCTCCTGATCGGGGTGTGCCGAGGTTGGTGCGTAAACCTGTATGACCTTCAGCGAATACCGTTTGGTGATTCTGAGTATAAGGTACGCAACCCTCGTCGACACACTCCCGATCTTTACAACGTTGTTAACGAGAGACTTGTGGACGATAAATCCGACACCTCCTTGGGACAGATGGTCGCCCTCCCGGTGATAGAGCAAGTTGCCGGATTCGAGGATTACCGTGTCCTCCCCCTCTCTTCGGACTTCGGATAATCCTATAATATGCCAGCGCAACTTGTCTATCTCTTCTTCCAGCTCCACGATCTTCTCGTCAGTCCTCAGGGTGCGTGCGTTGTACGTTGCCAGGTCGAGTCGTCTAAGGTGGCAACCGAACCTCCACCGGAGATTCTTAGCACCCCCTGCCCCGCCGTTACCATGGTCGCCACCGTAGCCAGGAATAGCGGGGCCGCCGGGGACTGGGGGCCGTCTGTTTGTTGCTTTAGTCATTGGGGGGTATTTGCCATAGTTGCCACGCTTGGCGAGCGGGTTGGCAACCGCAGTTTTTTTATTATAATTTTGGCTATTATCAGGAAGATGCTGCTGCCCATCTTCTGCCTGTTTCCCTTTGTCGCCTTTTACGACACCCACGGGAGGATATGGGGTAGTGGATATTCTTGACCGCCACTACACGGCAAGTTCGAGTACATATCAGTCCCGAAATTTCTAGAAGGATCTTAACTCTCCTAGTTCTGCTACTCGACACTAGAGGGCGCTAGTGTTGCCATGCCCAAGACATTAATAGTGGCGCGCAACATTATTAATAAATTTTTTAAATCGTCTAATTGCTATTTTTACATAAAAAAGCGGTTTAGTATACACGATAACTTTTGAAAATATCAATTGTTCAACTCAATCTATTTTTAAAACTCTTCATCTATCATGTGGGAAGCCATGGAATGTAAACAGCAGTTTAATTTTGTTTTTTTTAGTTATATTTTTTTTCTGCTAAATAATAGCGAAATTTTCGTGGTTTGTGAGCCTTGTATTAATTTATCTTAGTAAATACACTGTTTCACTCCGTCATTCGTCTCGTGATTCCGGCCTCGGCCGCCGTTGTGAGGGGATATTGTATCGCTCGTTTGCAGTGAAAAATATTGCCTTAGAAATACAAAATATTCCAAAAATCAAATTTGATACATACTTGATCAAGGCAAGATATTATTATTATTTTTATTACAATATTTTGTTTAGCTAAAAGCACGCAGGATTTATATATAAGTATACTTATACCTCTTGGACTTTATAGACCTGAAAGTGTACTTCGGTATCTGCTACTGCAACTCCTCGACGAGGAGAACTGGATGTGCCGAGTGTGGTCTAGTTGTGTTAGTTATGATGAGACCTTACCTCCGGAATTGATAGAGTGACTTGAAAGTGTACTTTGACGACTGCTACAGGAACACCTCGACGAGGAGAAATGTGCTTGTTTTGTAATATTCTACAACAGCATACCGTTGTAATAATTCGTATTTTGATTTTATCTTGTTTACTTTTTGTATACAGCTTTATCTCGAACTCGTAAAATAGCACCCCCAAGTAAATTCTTGCTTCATAACTCTCAAAATAAAAGGAGTTCTGTTGAGCAACGGACGTATAAACTTATAAACCTTCAAACGCTGGAAACAGTATGTAATATATACGTGTATCTATATTATGCGTTTCACTACTGGGCACAGGTCTCCTCTCCAGTTACTCGACTCCGAAGTGTCAGTAATTCTTTCATGGGGCAATGTATAGGCCTTTACAGCAAAATCCCAGAAAATATGCAAGCCTTATCTACGAGTATAAAAAAGTTTAAATTTTTTTCCAAGCAAATGTTGTTTATTAAGTTTTATTATAGGTACTCGTACTATTGATATCAACCACTGGGAATGAGGTGATCGCTACCCTGCTGTTTCTAAATGTATTCATTCTAATTGTATAAAATAATATATTGTAAATTAATTTTATTCAAAACTAGCTAAAATTACAACTTTGTTCGCTCGCGGATTGTGTAATATTAAATATATGTTAATATATTATGTTCTAAAATGAAAGCATATTTTTATTATGAAAAAAATATTTATTATTTAAAAAATACCAAGATTACAAAAAGGAATTTTTTAATATTTTTTTTCCAAGTTTATTTAAAATTTTTCATTCAAATTTCTTCGTAGTATTTGCGAATTTTGAATACTTTCAAATCTGTTATATCAAAATATCCTGATGAATGCTTTCCATCTTAGTCCTCACGGGTGACAGCGCACCTGCATTTTGAGTCGAGAATTTTTTTTCTTTGTAGGTGGAAGTGCCGGTTGTCGAACGGTCGAAATGTCAAACTCAACTACGGAATACGCGCCTTGGCCACTTCTTCGAACTGCACACGTCGTTCATGTGCGCTGGCGGGGAAGCTGGCAAAGACACCTGCAAGGGAGACGGCGGCTCACCACTGACCTGCCCTATTGAGGTTTGTATATTTGATGTGAAAACTTCTTGAAGTGAAAATTCAGAACCGTTGTCGCTTGAAACTCGATGAAAAGAAAAAATTACACTAAAAAGAGACAAACATATAGATCTATAAGATTTAGCCTGCGAAAGAATGAGATGGAGTAAAGAGATTAATTAAATAAATTTAACCATAATTAATAAAATTATCATATGAAATCCATTCATACCTCAATCCACGATTTCGTAACTTACTGATTTATATTCAATTATGTACCATTTATACGTAACACCTTGAGCGTCTATGTATATTTGTTCAATAAAATTACTTTACCTATAGAATAAAGTAGATGGCGCTATTTTAAAACAATTTTGCTCGAAAGAAAATATTCTTTTCAAATTATTATTTTTAAACTTGGTAATAATATTATTATAAATAACCACTACAATTATCCTACACCTGATGCTCTGCATTTGTCTCATTCTCTCGAAGTTTAGTTTTCTGAAGGTTTTCATTTCTATCGCGTGTGAACTGTACATATGTTTTTTTTTTACCAACTAGCCAGAATTTGTCTCTAATCGCACCACGTGGTAAGAGGTGGTAATGTCACAGATGGTAAATCACACTGTCTTAGCGTAACAAAAGCCTATTCCTTGAAGACATCTAGATTTTATATTTACAGCCAGTATACTTCCTACTATTAGCCTCCTCTGGTTTCTTATGGGCGTTTAAGCCAAATAAGTATCTACCGCGCTGCCCCCATGCATGTTGCAAAATTTTGAAAAAAATTTTATGTTATTTCTCGGACATGCACGTTTCTTTACGATGTTTTCTTTCACCGTCGAGCATGTGGTAAATTCAGTACTTAAAGTTGTAATTCGAACCTGGGTTGTTCGTTCAACTGAGGTATAGTGGTTTTACCCACATTTCTACACTGTAAGCCGGGAACTGGTTATAATTCCTCGACGCATATGTTTCTTACAAAACTATAAAACGTTTCTTTAAATAATAATCGGGTAAACTATTAATTATGTAACTCCACCTCGCCCTTTTTGGAATGTATTCTATGGAATACCAAGAGGCACTCTCCGGTCTCCGCCTGTACTAGAGACTAAAAAAATACCATCAATTATTTCATAACATGTTATAAAACTTTCCTGCTAAACATTGACCTCCCATTTAGATTTAACGTTGTAAACCTTAATTTGGTTGAAACATAATTTTGTTATTCATCGTGTAGTGGCGGTGTTAGAATATCCACTGACACTGCCATTGCACGATAGCAACTCTGGTAAATATGGGATTTTGCCATAGTCACCACGCCTGGCAGGAAGATACTGTTACCTATCTCCTATTTTAGTTTCCCTCTGTTGCGTCTTACGACACCCACGGGACGATATGGGATAGTGGATATTCTTACACCGCCACTACACAATGAGAGACAAAATTATGTTTCAAGCAAATGAAAGTTTACAACATTGAACCGGCATTACTCGTGGTAGAGCTACAATGCAATGTACTGTTACGAGTTTGGGGTTCGAGACAATTAAAAACTGCCGATTGAATTACCAAAATTGACACTTTAAGATTACCTAATAATAAAACACAATTGTACTACTGATCGCTTTAGTTCGCAGTTATATCACTTCGAAGTATTCGCTTATATCGCCAATTCAATACTGCCTCGGTCGTGGTCTATACCGGCCTTATATAGGGCCTCAGATAGTTTCTAGAACCTTCTACGGCAGCGACATCTAGAATGTTCGAGTACATATCGGTCCCGAAATTTCTAGAAGGATCTTGACTCTCCTAGTTCTGTTACTCGACACTAGAGGGCGCTGGTGGTAACTAGTGTTACCATGTACAAGACATTAATAGTGCCGCGCAGCAGTACTATAACTGTAACACGAATAGTTCGGTTCAACCGGGAAAGGGCCACGCTCACAGAATACCAGCGTAATATACAGCTTAATGCTGCTGTGTTTCGTATGGTGAGTGTAGAGAACCGGACACCCTTTTAACTGGAAACGAGGCATTCCATTTCCACGTTAGGAATTCCATCTTAGTCCTCAGAAGTTCAGCAACGCATCTGCATAATGAATTTTGATCGAGATTAGTTAATATCGACCGCAGCATCCTTACCACTGCACCCTCCCTTCTTTAAGAAAAAAGCATTTTTTTTATTCATCTCCTAATTTTTACATTTTTTTTTGCAGTACGAAAAAGATCGCTACATGCAGAGCGGCATCGTGGCTTGGGGGATAGGATGCGGTGAAGACGGAACCCCCGGGGTGTACGTGGACGTCTCCAACCTCCGCAACTGGATCGACGACAAAGTGGCCGGCGCTGGCTACGATCCAATGACCTACGTCATTTAATTGCACTTATTCATCAACATATTCATCAAACGCACGTCTTTGAAGAAAACCCGCAAAATTTTAATTTCGACCTTGCAAAAAGTTAAGGTTGAGGCGGACACAGAAAAACAAGAACAAAATACTCAATTGCCCGGAATAAATGATCTTTAATAAATTCGTTTGTTGTTTCATTTTACAGTTAATTACGTATCATTTAGATAATCTAACGAGGGTTGATATTCATACGCTCACCAGATGTCGCTAGTTGGAACTGAGGTGAAATTATTTGTTACCGCAAATTGTCACACGGTGTCATCAACATTGAAAAGCTGTGTTTTAAATAAAAGCTTTTCGGTTTGTAATGTATTAAAATACATAAAACAATGCCTCAGTGGTATGTTCTTTAATTTTTTACTCGCTTTTAACTTGTTTTTTTTTAACTCTTTTTTGAGGAATATCCGTAGTTCGGTTTATCCATTTTTTTATTTGACAATGGTAATAAGCGAGCACACAGTCCACCTGATGGTAAGTGGTTGCTGTAGCCCATAGACATCTACATCTATCCTCGATTACGAATCAAAATGATGCGTTGTCACCCGTGAGGACTAAAATGGAATGCCTCGTTTCCAGTAAAAAGGGTCTTCGGTTCTCTACACTCACCATACGAAACACAGCAGCGTTAAGCTGCTATTTTACGCTGGTATTCTGTGAGAGCGTGGTCCTTCCCCGGTTGAGCCGACCCATTCGTGGTACAACTATAACAGTAATATAGCTGCAGCATGGCTCTACCACGTAAAAATATCTATTCATCTAATTAATACAAAATATTGCAAACATTTCAGAGATAACCATACATTTTTACACTTTTCTAACAATTTAACTTTCCCACTTTGAGATCTGTCAAATATTTACCTCATTACAACACCGAACCTCAACAATGGGTGGTCCATTGAGTCCAGAGCCAAAGCAGCTGCAAGTAAACTCTGTGTCCTTGCAAGGGTTCGGCAGTACTTCACATCGGGGCAGCTTCTTACCTTATATAAAGCACAAGTCCAGGTCCAGTCGTGCATGGAGTACTGTTGTCACATATGGCCTGGTGCTACAAAATGCCACCTGGCAGCTTTGGACTCAGGGGAGAGACGTGCTAAGAGGCTCATTAGTGACCTTGATTTAGTTGAAACCAATCTTGCAAGCCTCGAGCACAGACGCAAAGTAGCCAGTATTAGCACAGCAGGACAGTATTTCATGCCGGCACACCGCTTGCAACTTTACAAGGTGCAGGTTCGGCCTAACATGGAATACTGTTCCCATCTCTGGACAGGGGCTCCCCAGTGCCAGCTCCTTCCACTTGACTGCATCCAGCGCAGAGCGGTTCTAATCATCGACAACCGAGTTCTTTCCGATCGGCTTGACTCACTGGCAGTGCGTAGAGCCGACTTAGGGACCTTCAAGAAAAGAGCCTACTCCTTTTTAAAATGCCTACAACGCATCTGTAATTGCCCTGGTGTTGCAGTTGTTCATAGGCAACGGTAGGCACTTACCATCAGGTGAGCCGCATGCTCGTTTGCCCCCTCTCCTATAAAAAAAACTAACCTAGAAGTTTCTATATGTAAGGCAGCTCTATCTGGCCATCCGCCACTTACCATCGTATCGGCGAATCTACCGCCACTCAAACGCATAGTTGAATCAGACTTTGTAGAATTACTCAATCACGCTACAGTGTTGTAATAGCTGGAGACCTCAAAAGTAAGCATTCCTCCTGGAACTCGCGTACAAGCAATCCCAATGGTATGATATTATTCGATCTCACGGAGCGATTAAACTTCGATGTTATCGCGTCTGAGACTCCAACTCGCTACTCATTCGCAATCAGTCACCAACCAGACGACATACTTCACGATGTGTGATGATGATGTTTGTCATTATCATCGATTGAAACAATTTTAGAACTCGGAACACAGACCAATCCTAGCGCAGCTGGGCCAGCCCGCAGGTGAGCTCCTTCAGACTAAAACCATCGTGGACTGGCGTAAGCTCGAGTTCAAACTCTAGTCTACAACCTCCCAGCACTTAGACAAAATCCCTGATAAAATAAACTCGCCGGAGGAGGCCAATGAGGCGATTAGCACCCTATCAGTCTACCTCACCTCTACAGTTTAAGAATGCTCTCTTAAGGTTCGTGTATCGAGCAATCGACACAAGAAGCTTCCCAGTTATATTCGACAGCTGGTTAGAGCAAAGAACGCATCCCTACGACAATACTGTAAATATTGCGGAACCTCTGAAACGAGGTGAAACAACGTATTAAAGAGTTAAGACATGATAAGTGGGATAATCTGCTGAAGGATATCGAACCATCACACACTCCCTTCTGTCAGTTGACACGAGCTCTGAAAACGGTACAATCCTCACCTATGCCACCTCTTACAAACCCCGATCTTGCCTTTAACGACTCTGAAAAGGCCGAATGCCTAGCGGACAGTTTAGAGAGCCAATGTACCAATGTTGAGCGAACCAGCGCGGCGGACTAAAACCCTCAGAAATGAGAGGAGGCCTGTGTCCAGCAGTGGAACGTAAATAGGCTCTAACTTTACTTTACTTTTTTAAGTAATATAGGGCATCTCCAAAGTAGTGTTCTCAACTTACTTATAGTTTGACTAGTAGAGAAGGAACGCCTTAAGGCATTAAGTATGCTTTTGTACATTTTAAAATAAATACATGCCGACATATACATACCGACACCCAATCAATGTTTAAACAATAATAATTGAAGTGGAATTAATAACTATTATCAAAATTTACGGAAACTATTAATAATACCAATAACAAGCAATAAAATCAACAAACTTCCCCATTCTATTTATGTATAAACATATCGGTGACCTACAACGAGGAAAACCCAGTAATGACGTCATAAGCTTCTACCGCAGTGTCAGCGATAGAGCTGTAGCATTACATTTAAAAATTAATTAGTTCCTTTTAAGTCGCCTAGTGGTTGAAATTTAACTGTAATTCATTAATGTTTTAAGTATATTAAGCAAGCTGTCATTTTCAACCACACGTTAAAACACATATGCAAAATATAAAATTTTTTGTATTTTTAACACGTATCATCATAAATAAATTTTGGCTTTATTCACTCTTTCTCCATATAAACTTCAACTATGCCAAATCCCATACTTTTTTGTGCGTTAAAAGTTTAAGTTACAGCCTATATACACGTCCCACTGCTGGGAATAGGCCTCCTCTCATTTCTGAGAGGGTTTTAGGGCAAGGAAAAGTCCGCCACGCTGCCCCAATGCGCGTATTTGTGAACTTTACATGTCTTCGAATTTTTTTTTCTTATTTTTCAGACATGCAGGTTTCCTCATGATGTATTTCTTCAGAGCCGACCACGTAACAATTTCTCATACACAGATATATTATAACACTATCGCCCGGTGACAGCGACAACTCGGATAAAGATTCGGATCAGTCGCTTGACCGATCCGCATATTGTATGAGAACGAGTGGCCTATGTTTGTTAATAAATCCGAAACAACACGATAGTTAATATTGTAATTTTTAAGTTTAAAATGAAGTAAATAGCAAAACGTGATTAACAATTACTTATTTAAGAAAGGTAACGAAATCATTTTTGTAAATTTGACGTTACACATGTCTTTTACAACAAAAACAGCTGAACAATTCTGCATTTTTATAGAACGTCCATTCAACCGCGCAACTAAATTTTATTGTACGAATAGGACCACGTGGATTATACTTTCACAGAGGGGAACGCCTGTGTATGGCTACTCCCCTCCGGTTCGCCGGTAGCTCGTGCTGCCCTATTTTTTTTTTTATAGTATACAGGATGACAAACGAGCACACAGTCCACCTGATGGTAAGTGGTTGCTGCGGCCCATAGACATCTACATCTATCCTCTATAACAAATCAAAATGTAGATGCGTTGTCACCCGTGAGGACTAAAATGGAATGCCTCATTTCCAGTAAAGAGGGCCACCGGCCACCTGCACTCACCAAGCGAAACGCAGAGGTAAACCTCAACTTCACGCTGGTTTTCTGTGAGGTCGTTGTACCACCCCGGTTCGAGCCGGCCCATCCGTGTGACAGCAAAAGCTGCCGCGTGGCTCTACCACTATTAAAGTTCATTGGCGACAATCTCTTCTCTGGACTAAAACTATGATTATGAACGTAAAGACTATGTTTTATTTTATTTATTTAATGTATTTGTCACACATCTAATCTTCTTCTTCTTCTAATATATAAAAAATAAACAAATGTTTATTAGTATTTTATGCGCTGCCTCACCATTCATCAGATTGCGCTAAAACTTGTCATCTTATTGCTTGCACTTGTGCGAATATTATAGGCATAGTACAATTAACTTACAGTAGGTGGTGCGCGTATCGTACCGACAAATTTATTTTAAAGTTATATATCATTAAAATACAATCAATGTATTATCATTCGTAATTAAACAATATAACTTTTCCAAAATTAAAACGATATTTCCACAATTATTTCCTCTGCGGCAGCAACGCACCGGTTACCAACTAGTTACATATAAATTCTAGCTTTATGAGCTCCTTCTCCATATAAACTAACTCTGCCAAATCTCACAATCCTCAGTGCGTACAAATTGCTTCAAAAAAGGGTACAAAGTTTTCCTTTCACGTATCTATACTTCCATACTAAACTATACTATAATATTATAAATCCGAGAGTTTGTGCGTGTGTGCGTGTGTGTGTGTATGTTTGTTACCTCTTCACGCTCAAACGGCTTGATGAATTTGGATGAAAATCGGTACACAGATAGAATATAACCTGGAATAACACATAGGATACTTTTTACCGCGGTAAAATAACTTATTCCCACGGGAAAACACGAAAACTTCTAAATCATTATGTCGCGGGTGAAACCGCGGGGCGGAAAGCTAGTTAATATATAAATTTTAATTAGATAAGTAAAAATCCGAGTGGCGACGTAAGATAATCTATCACCCCGCTTCGTGCTTTGGGTGTCGTAACCGACGGCTATCGGTTAATCATTCTTACACCGCCACTGAACTATTCTACCCATAAGAGTGGTAAAATAGTGGATGAATTTTTAATTGAACTATTTAGACGACATTGAAATTAAAATATTGCTTTATCTACTTAAATTCAATAATC